TGGTTTTCTTCTGATTTTACTTCTATTTTGCTGTGATTTCAACCAGAAGTTAATCCACAATCTTTCAAAATATAAAACAAACACATAACCTGGAGAGAAGAAAGTAAGTTTAAGAAGTACTTTTTATATCAGCTTGGAAAAAAAATTCCAGGATGTTTTCACTTCTTCCACCAAAATTTTCCATATATGATACTAACAGAGTTGGCATACATCATTAGCAGTAAAAGCTTCAATTTCTTCACTGAAACACTTTAAGTCTTTATGAAAACACTGTCAAAATCAGCACTACCTCCTGTGAAGGAGAGGGAGTCCAGGGTGAAGTCCAAACACAGCACGGAGGTTACTCTGTAATCAGAATCAGAGGTCTGATTCACTGCTTGGTCACACAGAATTCTCCAGACCTCCATGGCATGTCCCTTTCCTTCATCAGGAAATGTTTTGCAATGGCACAAATCAAGCTCCTGAAACCTTCATTGCAAATCAAAAATCAAGACAGCTCAAGGCATATATTTTGGGTTATGATTTGCAATATTCATTAAGAGAACAGCCAATTCAGGCAAAGAAAAAAATATCCTGAGCAAAAATAATGAATACAGAGTTTGTTACAGCAACAAGACTGATGGTCTCATCTGTAATGATCTAACAGTGGCTGCCTTTATATGGTACCTTGTTTTGATTTTCATATCAATAATTACATTATGTGCCTCAAAACATCTGGCTGGCTGGTTAGCTTGATTCATGTTAAAACCATCCTGTCTGTGGATATGCATTGGCATAGGAGCTATTACCGAGTTACATAACAGATTGCAGAAGCAGCAACGATTCCTCAAAATTTTGTGCGGCACCAGGTCCGAGGGCCACTCACCATGCTCCCTTCTGCCCTTAGAAGCTACAACTTGAATACATGAACTGCACTTCCCAATGTCAAATGAATGCAGTGCCACAAAATTTCCTCCTTATGCTCTTCTCCAACAGCTTCTTCCCCCTGGCACAAAGTCAACACCAGAGCTAGTACACACTGCGTGTCACCTTGTCACCTAATGAAAAGTAGAGTGAGAATGTCTGCTGCACATTGTCCTGACAATTGCTGATCAGTATGGTCATGCTGAGCTATAACTTCCAAATAAATTGCACTTTTCTTCTGGCTGTAAGGGTCCACATGGCTGACCATTCACAGGGTTTTGCATTTACTACTTCATGTGTGGCCTTAAGCACCTTTGAGATAGCCTTCAACAAGGTCAGCCAGTCTAAAACACTACCATGGCTTTGTCTGGCTTCTTCACTTCTTAGTATTAAATGGATTCAAACAGTTTAAGGGACTATTGGATATTTCTCTAATTTGTTTTGAAATTACAATATATTCTTTCCTCATATGCAGAGCTACAGAATCTCATTGCGAATGAACATGCAAAATAACTTAAAAGCAATCACCAAAATGCCTGTATTTCCTTCCACTTTTTCCTGACTTCCTAGACTCTAACCTAAACTCTCAAATCAGCTTTTTCTGTTTGGGGTTTCAGTACTGACCATATGTTTTATCTGCTAGTTCTAGGACCAAAGCACGGATTTATGTAGCATCAGCTTTCAAATATCTCTTGACCTATTGACAAAATAGAAATTTGTAAAATGGGCCGACAAGTAGATCATTATGTTATTTGCTTCTCTCTTGCAATAACTGTTTCTTACAACTGTCAAAGTTGTCAGACCACCAATTCTAATTTTATTTACATTGCAGAGGGAAGCTATAACCTGAGTGGGAAAGAAAAAGAAATGGTCTCTACCTACTTTACAAATTGTCTTTTAAGACATTTTTAATATTATCTTTCATATTTACAACCAAAGTACTTTGAAGCCACAAGATGCCTGTTCTGACATCTTCATTAAAACAAATACAAGTAATTACACTGCTCAGCATAGTGTATACAGTCATTTGTGTTTGCTCAAGGTTGTTATCAGGAAGACTAATGAGTGTTTGGCATTCTACAGCATCTGAGTTTCCTTGTACAGGTCAATCCCTTCAGAGCAGGTGGTGGCTGACAGATGTCCAAGAGCTGCTCCATGTGCATGGGCCACTTCACAGCACACGGACCAGGGAGAACACTTAAGTTTAAAATTGGCTGAGCAGTCGCTGGTTTTAAGTTGGAGCCACAAAGATCTGCAGCACTGAGTTGATATTCTGGGAGAAGAGATGGTTTGATTCTTCTAGAATTTCCTTCATTCCTCTCTAAAGCAAGAACAGAAGCCAGGGAGGAAAGTACAAATCAGGATGTTCACTACGTCCCAATTCTGGCACCAGTGGTGCTAGATACTTGGGGCACAATTCAAAGAAAAGCATTAGTTCTAAAGGGAAGGATTTAATTTTTTGCGGGACTTGTCTGGATACATAATTCATTCAGACCAACAATCAGGTTCACTGAGGAAATATAAAATATCTTTTGATATAAACTCATTGCTTGCTCCAAAGTTAAATCTTTGCCTGAATTCTGATTTCCACGGTGATTTTACAGTGTGAGGTTTGAAGAGTCTGTATTTTCTAAAAGGGCAAATTGTAGGTCACATATTAAGAAATGGTTTTAGACATCTGAGTCAAGATTCTTTCCACTTAATTTTTTAAAGACATAAAGCTCTGTGCAAATTCACAAGCTTCTGACAGTCTCTCTGATCAAAATCTCTACTACTCCTCCAGTACATTTTCCTCTGCCTATTCCCCACTCCTCCCTGTATCCTAAGGCCAAATTATGCAAATAAATGTCTTGGGTTTTATGACCTAGACACTCTTGAGAAATATTAACCCAAAATAACATTAATTTTTTTCTTGCTTCAAGTTCCCTGACAAACTTGATAGACAGAGTAGTTTTTCAAAAACCTCACTAAGATACAAGTTATCTTCCAAATAAGTACTAATGCCCAATAAGGCAAAGACAAAACAATTCTAAGATTTTGTACAGAGAATTGTGCAAGTCATGCATTTTAATGATCATTAAGGTTTTTTTAATTATCTTTAATTCTGAAAGGGTCTGTTTGAGCATGTAGAGGCAATAAAACGTTTCATTTGAACTCCCTAATAGATGAAAATTGTCAATTACGATGTATAAAGTCAGAGATGCCTGATTCACTAGACCTTAATGTTCAAAGGAAGAGGCATGTCCTAAGTCCAGACAGATTAAAAGCAAAGACAATCCTAAGGCAGCACCATACTGTGAAACTACAGAAGACCAAAGGACTTGTCAATATTTACTGGGCTACATATACCCATCTGACTTTGCTGTGCAAATCAGTTATATAAATTCACAACTCTTATCAGACATACACATGAAAATATGTGTTTGCACACACACCTACATATACATGTATATGTATACATATACAGCTACCTGGGGAAAAAAAGTCAGGCTAGCAGAGCTACCAGAGATTTGAGTAAGAAGTTAGAAACTAAATGTCATAGAACAATTATAACTTTGACTTGTTTAGAGATACAATGCTGCTGAATTGAGCATTTGTGTTACCTACTGTAGCCCTCATATTGCTATGGTTGCAAGATTGGTTTTCTTTTAAAGGTAGTTTGACTTCCTGAAAGGACTTTCCATCTCAGCCTTTACTCAGTGAGTAGCCCTATTGAAACCAGTTTGATCTGCATTTGCAAAACAGAGCAAGACCATGTTTCAGTACTGAAATTAAGACATACCTGCCCAGAGAACCTGATCCTGTTTGCCTCCTGCATGAAAACGGCTTAGTTAGGAACAATGAAACCACTAACACAGCGGAGGCAAGAAATTCTCACCTGAGAAGGATTAGTAGAAAATCACAGGAAAAAAAGTTTTGAAAATCCATTCCTAATGCCCAAGGTATGAAACTATTGTATAATGTAATCAAGACCTTTAAGAGTAGCAAGCAAAGACCCTTGATATGCTCTGATTCAATTGCAATCATCAATCTGTTATATAAGTCAGGGCAAAATGCCATAAAGGTTACCTTTGATGTAGTTGAACCCTAGCCATCTATTATGGGCATTTTTTTTTCTCTCAATTTCTATTAGCAAGAGGAAATACATTCCAGGTTACCTGTATTTCTCCTGAGCAATATTTTTTTCAATTCCTACCTGTCTACCTCATCAAAGCTGTCTCTGCCTTCCACTCATCAGAACACACAAGACATTTCCAGGACACAGAAGGACTACCACAGGACTGCAGTGAAAACAATACTGATGTAAATTCAAATTGCATGTATCATTCCTGATGGTCATTATTATTTTAATATTTCATTCTGGAGTTAATATTCTGTCTGATCACTGTCAGCTAGGGATGTATATTTACCATACCAGCAGTGTTGTTAGGGTAAAGAGAAAAGATTTATCACTCTTTCAGGATGACGGTCATGAGGTTTTGTGTTGGGGCATTTTGTTGGGGGGTTTTAATTTTTTGAGACAAACTAATTTGTCTAATCACATAAAAAAAAAAAAAAGTCAATAATAACAATTCTTTTTCCTCATTAGTTCTTCACTAAGAACATCACTGTGATGTTTTCTCGGATACTTCACTTGCATTAGAGCAATTTTGTTGTTTTTCCAAAGCAGAACAATAATGACAGTAGCATCCAAAAGAGTTTCTTGTAATTGCCTAAATTGTACAGCACCTTACCAGGATGTTAGTAAAACAGCCAAAGAATTTCACATTATAAAACTGGGCATATCATCTGATATAGCAATTTTGAGCACATTTTCAGACTAGTCAGAGTTTATAAGATTTCCCAACTCTAGTTTAGCCAAAAGTCTTTCATGGACCATCTGGTTCTAATGAAACAAAACTAGAATATTTGGTGTCTTTTTCATTATGTTACATTAAATTAAAGCTTAAAACATCAGTAAAGCAAAATCCATTCTTTTAATATTGTGTTTTTTAAATTAAACATTAAGTATTTTGGCTAAGTAAATGTGTTTATTTTAGCAAAACTGTACAGCATATACTACACAATACAGTCAGCAGAATCTTTAGTTCACTTACTCTTGCATATTCCTGGTCCATGGCCCACTGAGGCAAAGGGAAGTGTTTCCATTGACATCAATGGGCTCTAAATGAGGCTCCACTGTGAGTGACACCACATCCTTACTCATCCTAAAACGTGAATGAGGTTTCAATACTTCTCCTGAAAGAAAAGGTTCAAATTATGCTTACAGTAGCTCTTCCTAAATTATGCAATAAAAGGACCCAATTGTGCATCCCATACATACTTGCTTACCCAGCTGAAATTCAGTGAAAACAAAATATTAATGTCATAAGAGGTTTTATAGTGGAAAGGCATTGTGAACTATATAACCTTTGTCTATACTCTGTCTGGCTATAAATTGGCACTATGGATGCAACTTTCACAGGTGCCTGCAAGACTAAATCTTCCAGCAGCTGTTTGAACAGCAATGGAATTTTGAGAATCCTACCCTAAATGTGGCTTATCATTTCTGAGCTCAGCCACAACAGGCTACAATTCCCTGCATATCACCATCAGTCTTAAAAGTTTGTTCTGCATGTGGAAATACAGAACAAGATTTCAGAAGACGTGTAGGGAAAAGTCAATTTTTAACATCAAAAGTGCCTAGTTCTGTAGACTCAAAGAGGCCAAATCAAGCAACCAAGAAGGTCAACCAGCCACTGCCTGAAGAAGCTGCCACTTTCCACAACTCAGCTAAGGTCAACCAACAGAAAATATGATTTCTTACTTATGGAACCAGTTTGTTTTACTGTAGCAAGTGGCCATCATCTTTTTTTCTGTATATTTTTCCTTGCAGCTCCCATCAATATAACCCTCATTGCAGAGATTTATCCCTCTTGTAGGAAACCCAATAGTAAATATCCCCCACACAAATATCACAGAGGCTGACAAGGATGCTGACAAGGGGCTATCACAGTTTGTTTTGTTCTATTTACTCCCTTAAATCCATTTATGCTGGTAAGGTAGACTTCATTTGTTTCTACTTTCTGTTTTTTTCTCCTTGGTAGTTTCCAGGTTATAATTACAAAATAGCTAGAAGATATAGTTCCAGCCCTGAATTCCTTACAAAGTCCCCTAAACAGGAGTTTTTCTGCAGGAAGAAAGGGCTGAGAGAAGACTGCATGAATTGGCCCATACGGAGTTACATGCTAACTGTTGTTATTGTTCTCAGAGAGTGCATTTAAGGTTTTGGGAACAAACAATAAAATGAACAGCTGAACAATTTTAATCATGGCCCAGTTCCTAGTTACAATTATTTTTAAGCTGTCTCACCATTAGCTAGACTCAGATTTTTTTTTTTTTCTCCCAATGAAAAAGTACATTATGTAAAACTTAAAGAAATACTGGCTTTAAATGACAGGAAAAGTAAAAAATAGATTCTGAAATGTAGCATGCTGTGCGTTGTGCTATTAGCCCTACATTTTTGTATGAGTTACACATTATTTTTAAAATATTCCATTCTCTATATACCTCATGTACTAGCCAGTTCTCTAGGAAAATATGCTTTCCTAGATAAGTTGAAAGAGTGGCCTCTGAACTATAAGACTAGACAGAGAATATCAGATTTTGACCACAGACATGTCTGAACAAAACTAGAATCATGCTCATATGAAAGGCATATTTCATGTATTCTGCATTTCAAAATGCTACAGCAGGGACACATCAAATCAGAGAAAGATGACAGCTCACACAAGGAAATGGGAACGAGAGAATAGGATGGCACAGGGACGTGAAGACATTTGGAGAGACTACTGACCAAGCATATCCTTTTAAGAGCCCCTCTTCGTTCATTTAAGGCCTGATCCAATTACTTCCACTGGAGTCAACAGGAAGACTTGTGGTCTTCAGTGTCTGTTATTGTGGCTTATTACTTGTGTTACAGTAGCACACTGAATATTCAATAAAGTCCAAGCACTGTAATACCAGGTGCTACACAAAAACCCACAGTGGCATAATCCCTTTTTACCAGTGCTTGCATCAAGCAAGACCTTGAATCATGTAGGGGAAAAAATATAGCCCCCCCCCAAAAAAAAAAAAAAATAAAAAACAACATGGGAAAGAATCCAAAGGGAGCCCAAGGGATTTAAAATGGATTACAAAAAAAGTCAGTGGCAAAGCAAGGAAGACTGGTTGCCTGCCCTTTTTATTAACCCATTCTGTCTGTTGATGAATTTTGAGCCAAACCCACACCACACAATATGAATTATAATTGAGTGAATTTAGTAAAATGCTCACCTGCTAAATAAAGTGAATTGCCACTGTGTTTCTACTCAAGGAGATTCCTTGAGTACTGCAGATACACGGCTGTAAAAATACTTAGTGTGCAGACAGCAGGAATCACAAGTGCTCCACTTGCAACTCTTGTTTTTAATAAGAATTCTGCAGGAAAATGTCATAAACAGAAACACAGAATCACTCCAGAGGCTACCCATTTCCCTCCAGCCCACAGTACACAGGATCAGTTAAAACCATGTCATTCCTAACAGCTGTTTGTCTCATCTGTTGATGGATGAACCAAGCTAACAGTAAGCAACCTGTTCCAGCACTTCACCTCCCTTGCCATTGAACTGGTTTACTTCTAATCAGAACCTTTCTTGTCACAGTTGATGCTTAGTTCTTCTCCCACTATGTCCTCTCTTAGCTCTTCTCTTCTTTAGGTTAATCAACCCAAATACTTTCAGAACTCTATTTAAAATCATCTTGTCAATTGACATTCAGTTTCAGACCCACTGTTACCCTAGTAATTTGCCATACTTTCTACTTGGGTTGTCCATTCCACATTTACACATACACAGCATTTACTCCTGGATAAGTGCAATAACTTCTACTTGTCTGTCAAACAATCTTAGAACTTCATTTCTAAATGTATTTTTGAATTCTAATTATTTTCTTTAGGGCATATTGAGTTAGTGTAAACTGCAAACTTCATAAGCCTATTCAATACCATCATAAAGGACACTGCTTAAAACCTTGAATACTGGGAGGCCCCAATAGATACTCATTCAATATATTAAAATACTAATAAAAAGTAGTCTTCAGATACACTTAGTAAGCCTCTTTTTTACCCACTACAGGTTAATTGAGAATATTTGCCATGATTCTCATTAGAATGCTATATAAAGCAACATCAAAGATCTTACTAAAATCTGTATAGACTTGCTAATTCTTCTGTATCCAGGGTTGGCTGCTCTGTTGTGGATTGGCTTGACACAGACAACTGATGCAATTTGTTACTGATTGGTCTTCACACATTGGGCGCTGTCGTCTGTGTATTCTATGTGTTTAAATTTAGGTTGTTTGCAATTTCTCCAGATTTGGAGGGAAATTGTATTTATATTGATCTGTCTGTTCTTTCTAACATTTTTTTCCTCTCCTTTCCAAAGCTAGTCACTACCTTTTTCTTTTTTCTCACCTATCTTCAGCAAGTTATCAGTCACTAATTATTCTGAACCTCAGTTCCTTTAAAAATCTCTAAAGGTGTTACCTAAATTCCAGACAATCTGAAATCATCAAGTTAGTTAAATACCATGCAGTTAAAACCTGCAACTTTGTGAAAATACACAGAGAAGCATGAAGGTTCATTTTGCCATTTCCTGAGTTTTTAAGTGTTTTACTTTGGAATTTTAATTGCCCCTTCAATAAAACCTTTCTCCCCTTTTTAAACAATTGGTGGAAATGGCTGGTTATTTTTAGCAGCATGTGTTATTTATTGCCTAGGAACAAAGCTGGATCATTCACATACAGATTTAGTCTTATGGCTATGAGGAATAAATGTCCTGTTTGGATTATTTGATGACTAAAAATAATTATTTCACATCTTTCTTTCCCAAAAACTATAGCACTGCATAGAAATATCAATGAAATGCAGCATCTGAACTAATCAAACCTATTCCACAGAACTCTTTATCCCAGATACAAAATAATGCCACAGAATCAATTAGGTTGCAAAAGACCTTGGAGTTCATCAAGTCAAATCTACAACCTATCACCACCTTATCAACTAAATCATGGCACTAACTAACCATACCACATCCAGTCTTTAAGCATTAATGCTTTTAGATAACAAATAAAAATCTTAAAACACTTTTCAGAGGGGTTTTTGCACAGTGAGGCATCATTGACTTCAGCCAGAGCCAGATCAGAGTCAAAAATGGCAATGCCCTCCATCTACTGCCTTTTCTCTCAATCAAATACAAAGCCAAGACTAATCTAAGTATACTCTTAAGCAAATGAAAGGGTTGCTTACAGTCTTGACACCAGCTTACTACTAAATTCCATGAATGTGCAATTATGAGAGTCCAAAAATTTCTGCCTACCTTGGCAACATAATACACACATTGAAACTGGAAAAAGAATCAGCAGAAATAGTCATAACAATCATCAACCTCATTTCATAGTTAGGTTCCTTTCCATCCTACAGCCAAAATGGAGAGAGTAATTAACAAGTCATTTATTTCTCTGTGACTCTATATTTACAAGAATTTAAAAAACAGAAAAGAGTTAATGTGAAAATTTAAATAATCTTCATAGTGCATAAGAATACTACATGAGAATATTTAGGTTGAATTGCCTCATTTATTTTATTCTTTTTCAACTGTTGATAAACATTTATCTAATGATTCCAACTGCTATGAATCTCCTGCCCACTAACCACAACCTTTCAGTGCAAAGCCCAAACTACTTAATAGCATCCTGTAAGTACAGTTGTTTTCAAAATAAGAGATTATGGAAGAAACTCTGTACAGAAGGACAAACCTATAAACAATTCAGATGATTTTTATACAAAGATTGGCTGAAATATCAAACAAACTGCCAAAAGTTTTGCAGCCAGCAGTTAAAGTGACTTGTGTACATTAATTCAAGAAAAACTTGGATTATGCTTTGGAAAAGAAGGAAATACTACAGTACAGCAGCCACTAGCTTCCCCCCCACCTCCCCCCCTCCCTCTTTTTTTTGTACAGCTGGGATTATGGTTAAAGTGTTCCACATAGTTAACAAATATACTACAATTAGCAAACTTGCTTCTTTCATTTTCTGTAATCTGCAAGAAAGTTTCCCGTGGTTTTACAAGGCTGACCAGTTGGTTCCTTTTGCAAGACTACATTTATATCTACTTGCTGAAGTAAACATGTCTCTCTTTTTTTTGGCTTAAGAATGCCTAGCAGCACTTTAAAAAGAAATGTGAGCCTGAAAAAACAGATGAGAAAGACCAGATAAAGTAGAACATCCTAATGAGTAGATAATTCAATAGATACCTGGAGAACAGAAAAATTGAAACAAAGAGCATCTTCATTTTTTACATGTTCTGTCATGTTCCACTCTTTTGTGGTCATCAGAACTTATCACACAGCAGGAAAAACAATTAGATACAGGATAAATAGTTCAGGGAAAAGAACAACAATATGAAAAGTCATGTGCAAAATCATTCTTCATCAAACTTTTATGTCATAATAAAACTGAAAAAAAATGTTTTTGTTGGTGAAGTGATCACTAACTTTGCCAGAAAATTAAAACACTGAGATAATCACCAACCCAGGAAAGAAGAAAAAAAAAAAAACATAAAAAACCTGAGATTTCAGAGAGCTTTACATTTTCATTGGGAAAGAGAAGGTTCAAAGATTCCTTTGGATCAGTAAAGTCCTGTCATTCACTCAGGCTGTCCTCCTGGTGCCACAAACAGAAGGAGTAAACACAGAAGAACTGGTAAGAGTCCTAAAGGTTGGGTAACTTAACTGCAGTGACCATAAGATTCAGGATCCTTAGGGGAGAGAAGCAGGCAAGAAGCAGAATCACAGCATTAGACTTCAGAAGAAAAGATTTGGCCTGATTAAGAACGAGTTCAGGAAGAATCCTGTGGGAGAGTTCTGGAGCAAAGAGGGGTCCATGACAGAGGGCTAAATTTCAAAGATCACTTCCTGTATGCTCCAAAAGCATCTGTCCCTGTCGGAACCCAAAATGTCCCTCAGACATTTTTAGAGGTTCCAGGCCTTGGTCAGAAGCATTTTAGACCCTGGCAAGCAGCTGAAAACAGCTGTGATTTTGAGTTTGAACCATGGAATGAATTACCAACTTTGAGGGTGGAACAAGCAGTCACAGAATGTTAGATGGTATAGTAAAAGTAGTCACAAATTAGAGGGTAAAATTTTTTAGTGTTGTACAGGGGGGTTTTAGTACCTGTACAGGGGGGTTTTCACTTTGTACAGGGGGGTCAGGAGTTCTAAGATGGAGGAAAGTGGTCCTTATCTTATTCTTCCTCCTTCTTCTTCCTTACCTCCATGTTCTTGGTGATGTTGGCATTCACAGATTGGTTTAGAGTAGAAAAGCACATTGTAACGTAGATAGTAGGTATTGGGGAAAATCTATAAACATATAGTACGTAATATATCATATAAAAGATAGCAGCAGCTTTGGGCGGGGAGAGAGACGACGAAGACACCGGACAGTGAGGGTGTCAGGAGAGTGTGTACCTCTGCCTGGGCCGCAGACCAAAGCAGCCGCAGCGCAGGACAATCTTTTAGATAGCTAGCAATAAACTACCTCGAGACCGGACAACAAGAGGCTGTGGAGTTTTTCTTTGGAAGCGCGGGTTGGAGGAGAGACTTTACCACCACACGAGAGCCCCAAATCAATCCCGGGGTTCTCACATGTCCCCACGTGCAGGAACTCAAGCAAAGGTGGCAGGAAGCCTGAATGGATGAAAAGGGTGGTCCTGAAAAAACTCAGAGAGAAAGTATACAGGATGTAGAAAGAGAGGTAGGTGAACCTAGGAAGAATACAAAGGCTATGTTTAATCACACAGAGATTGGATTAGGAAAGCCAAAGTCCACCAGCAGCTGAAGGATGCGAAAGGGAACAAGAAATGTCTCTACAAGTACAGTGGCAGCAAAAGGAAAGCCAGGGGAAAACTGGGCCAGCTGCTGAAAGATACAGGGTACATCAAAAAGGCCAACTCATTCATCTTGATATAGAAAATACCGTTTTCATTTTCATAAGAACAATCGGTCACTGGAACAACCTCCTAAAAGGTGGAGTGGAGTCCCCATCACTGGAGCTTTTCAAGATACAAGTGAACAGGGTGCTAAAAGATCTCCTCTAGACTTACTTTTCTGCAAAAGCTTGGATCATGTATGTTCTTACAATGTCTCCTTCAACATGTGTTGTTCTATGGTTCTCTGATTCTGATTCTATGATTTTGTATTCAATGCCCTCTTTACCTCAGTCTTTAGTAGGAAAGTGGTTTACCTTGATGAATCCCAGGCCCTAGACACCAGTGGGAAAGTCTAGACCAAGGATTACTCTTCCACCAAGGGTAACTAATATCAGTTAACCAAATTGGACACCTGTGAGTCCATAGGACTTCATAAGATGCACATATTTGTGCTGGCCAATGTCATTGTGAGACAATTATCCATGAACACTTAGGGTGCTCAGAACAGGTTTTTACATGGGAAAAAT